TTAGGTTTCAAGGCTTGTAAGCTACTTTGTACAACTTTGGCCTTGCCAAAAAGGAGTAAGACTGAAATGATATGAGGGACCTTGAGTTTTCTGTTAGCTATAAAAAAATCAAAGCGAACGAAGACCAAGACTTTTGTTCTTGTGGTGGCTCGGAAACGGCCCGGAGTTTGTAATGTCTTAACAAAGGGATGTTTTAATTTTTATTATATTAAATTTTTCTTATGAGGTGTTCCTCTTTCATGTCCATGTTGTTCGCCATCGTATTTAAGCTGCCCCTGAATTCAAAGAAGGCCAGGCTTGCAGTGTACGCTGCAAGTCTCCTGTGGCCAGAACTAGACTAAGACGTCTTGCAATGCCTCATGTTATTTTTTTAACGTCTCAAGTGTATCGAGAAGCTCGACTCGAATAGATCAGAGGCCAGGTTCTGTAACACGTCCAAATGGTCCATCTTAAAACACGAATGTCTCTGTTGCTGATCTGCAGATCGCTGTACGAACGCCATGAAAGGAAGAACTTCTTCTTTTAATAACTTTTAGATTTTACTAGATTGAGACTGTTGATAGAAGTCATTGAATACGTAAGCTTTCAATACAGCTATTTTTGGGATTATAGCAGTTTTCTTAGATGTGAGAACTGTAAAAGTTTTTGTTTTTCATGCAATCTGAGTGGGTTTGCATCCCGATTTCAACACTCACACATTAGAGCATTGCCTAATTTTCTCGGGCAAGAAGGTCATTGACCCCCAAAGCCCGAAGGTGCCCGTATGCCTAGCATGCACTTCTGGCACTGTCTGTAGTAAAAGCTTATTAATTCAACATTTGTCTCCATTTAAGGTGGCTCAAAACAGTTTCCAACACTTAGATTTTGATGGGTCGTTATAACCACTCTTTATCACTTGATGCTACAATCATGGTACCACAAAGCTGCCCAATCATTTGTGAACACGTTGTTATCATTTTCGTGACGCAATAGGTTACCATAGCAACATGACCTCCTAAAAACACCATTAATTACAGCTTTAGGGGCTTATAATTCAAAGACAGTGCAGTGAAATTTTTTCATATTATCAACTTTTGATAAGCATACTAAGAGGCAACTTTTGGCAAAGTTTAAAAAATTCTAATGGTAGGGTTCAGATCGAGCCACCTTAAATTTTCGAAAATTAAGGGTGGCTCTGAACACATCCTAAGTAACAGTATTTTAAATATGTAGATATATGCAGTTTTGCTGAGTTATCAATACATTGATGCTGTTACAGCAGCAGGGCATATACTACAAAGTTCAGTAGGATGACACCAAAATTTAAGAATGAAATTCAGCAGGCTGAGGTCGGAACACAATATGAATATACACAGCTCATAAATCAAGTTTAAATAGCATGGTTTTCTGCCAAGTGATATATGAGACAGGATAATCCATTTTAGTCAACTTTAACATAGTTTGTGTATTGTAC